GATGTTTCAAATTCTTTGGCACTCTTTTTGAACTCTTCCTGACACAGGAATGGTTCTGTTATGCTATTCCACAATAACTTCAGTGCGTAGGTTCCTATAGTTGGATCCATGTCTGACTTTGCTAGAAAAAAAAAACGCAGAGTTTGCAGTGGGCGGAATGCTGTGGAGTTGTATTCATAGTCAATGCTCTTCCCAGTTGACTTAGCCAATCTGTAACAGGAAAAAAATATAATTAAAAATTACTAAAATATAAGGGTTGGTGCAATATAATGATAAGGCACAGTTGTCAAAAATCGATATTTTCACATCAAACAGTCCATTAGCATAATTTTTTAGATAAATACTTTTCGAATTTATACAACTTCCTCCTGATAACGCACAATTTGAAAGTGTGGCTTATTATTATTTTATTTTCTCGCCATCTTTTTACGTGCAAGGATTATTATTAATAAATATAATAAATGAATATAATAAATATAATTGATGAAAAGAATATAATTAATTACAAAATATCTTATGGTAGTTATTTATTAATCTTGACCTGCTGAAAAGTATTTTGATTTATAGCCGTCGTTGATCAACCGACCCAAATTTGAGTTTACGTCTACCAATGTTCAACTCCGTAACCTTGAAATTTTTAACCCAATCCAGAAGACTAGGGAACACCTGGATCAGTACCCCCAGATTTATTGATTTGCTTTGTTAACTTGGAGGACTTTGTGACTCCAAGAGAATCTAGCATGCACCAGTCACCATTTAATGCACAGGGATTCATCGGTCTCTTGGATTTGAGCGTTCACACGAACACGTGCTCAACGCCTGCCAGGTCTGCTGTATTAAATATTCCTTGCTCAATTCAACTGTTATCTTAAATTTTATGAAGAAAAACAAGATAAATTTCTTCCGATTTTTTTTTCTTTTGAAAAAATAAATAAATAAAAATATTAATACTACATCTTATTTTGTAAGTTATTAAGGTTGACAAATGCCGTTTTAGGTTCCAAATATGGCATTTCCAAAGTCATAACTCGTTATATTAATTAATATTTTTTATGTGGTAATTTTTGATTTGGATCGAGTTATAAATGTTTAATAATTTAGTATAATAAAGGTTTACTTAATGTACAAATTAAATTACTGTCATTCCATTTATACGAACACGCTCTACATCACTGAAATATGAAAATTCTTCTTCGATGAAAATTTATAGATAAGTGTTTAAAAAGCAATTACTAGTTATACATTTCTAGTGGTTTGTAACATTCTGAATTAGTTTTGCCGGGCAGGTTGTTCATTGTCTCTTATTTGTAGGTTGACGTCTATTTACATCGTAAAATAAGATTTTACTTCAGGCAGTTGAAATTGCAAGTCTGCAGCAACTTCTAGTCTATTAATTCTTGGCGAATGCATAAATCAAATTGAATAAATTAACCGAATTAGGGTATTTCAGAAAGAAATATTATAAAATGACAAAGTTATGAGAGAAAATTGAGAGATCATAAAGCCTGAACAAAATTTCTGACGGTTAGAAAATTGAGATTGGGGAGGCCCCCCAAACGGCTCCCAGCCTCGCAAATTTTGAAATTAAAAGTGAATATATTTATTCTCAACGGACAGAGAAAGTATGGGTAGGAGATCCAAAATTAGCGGCGATTTATCACCGTATATCATAGCCAAAAACAAGGCCAACCAGCATATCAATATAGAGTTAAAATAATACCTTGGCGATCACGAGTCGCCAACAAATTTATGTGAATTCTTATAACCAGGGCCCGACTTAGCCTAATTGGGGCCCGGGGCAAAAACCTCTTTGGGGGCCCCCTAGCGCCATATGTGCTTAGCTTTAGATGGTCGGTCAATCGTCCATTGCTATGTAAAAAAAAACTGAAAATAATAACATTTATATTGACCTTGAATGATAATGTTTATTTTTAAATCAACAAAATTTTAACATGTTTATTACTTACTCAGTTTTAACCAANACCCGTTATGGTATTGATGAAATATAATCTCCCTTTCTTGGTACCATTATAGTTTCTATTTGAAAAGGATCAGCCCAAAGAGACACTCGTAATCTCAAACTATTAACAGAATTAATAAATTTTTTAATATCTCTTTCTTTATCTTTTGAAAAAGCAGTATTCTCTTTTTCAAGCGCGCAAAGGCAAATCATTCCATTTGGGTAATTTTCTTTCAGTTGTAAAGCTTTGAAAACAAGCAAGAAATCGCTGTAGTCCACGCTTGTGGTAGCCATTATACAAATAAATTTTCAAAGGAAAAGAAATTTTAAAGACCTTTCGAAATTGCAATTTGGAACTATACTTCTACAATTGTTAAAAATTGTTATTTCTTGAAAGAAGCCACCAGGTGACTGGATACCCGTATTTCAAGTTTCAAGAAAGTCGTTCGTTTATTACTATCTGAACCACGTGAATGGATATATGACTTTAGTGTGACATTGACAGTATATTCGATTCTTGGAAGACTTCAAGATATGAAATGGGTGGTCAGCTACAACTTTTTTTTTTCTTTTCCGCTTTGATATATGAAACTCTAATAAATGATCGAGCTTTTTCGGCTGAACTCCATCGTTATTAAAAAAACTCTATTAGCAGCTATTAAAATACTAACAAAGCAAAAAAAAGTAATTATTTTGTGTTAAATGCGAAGAAGGAAATATTTTAAATTATAAATTTATTCTTGGGTGCATGCGCATGCTGAAAATGAATAAAATGAACTGAATTTTGGTTTTTAAAAAATAACTGTAAAGATTGAGAATAGTTATCTGAAAAATGTAACTCTTTTTTATTGAATTTAGTTACTTCATTTTGATCAACTCAGTGAATTGATCAATTCAAAATAGCTAAATTCAGGAAAAAAAGAGTTACATTTTTTTATTGATTGATTTACTGAAGCTTATGAACAGTGAGTAGCTTATTGATTTTTTTACGAATGACCCTTCTCATAATTTATTCCGTATTTGTTTCATTTAAGTTAATATCAACAACTAAAATATTAAATAAATCATGAATTATTTGCTTGTATATATTTTATAGCCGTCGTTGAACAGCCGATCCAATTTTTTGGGTTCACGACTAATATTCGACTCCGTCGCCTTGTAATTTTGAATTTAATCTACAAGACAAGGGAACTTCTAGATCAAGTACAGGGAGAAATTTGCCTTCGTGGAGGATTTTTTATGGAACTAACCTGCGTTACATGGAGATGAAAAACCCGAAAACATCCAACGGTCTGCATGACGACAAAGGGACTCATACTCACAATCCGCCTACCTAAAAGATATTTCATGTCTGCGCTGTGGTCGGTGCAAGCCGGATGAGAAATTCGCATCGTCCAGTCATCGCTGGGATTCGAATCCGCTTCAGCTCATCGGAAGGCGAACGCATTATCTACTGAGCCACCACGGCTCATTGAATGGATATAAATATAATTATTGGTAAAAAAAAATCCTACCTTTCGAAACCTTAGTAATTTTTTCATGGAACTCTATGGTCCACCTTTTGAAAACGGCTTTATTGTACATGATAAGTATTCGCGTGAGGCACCACAAAAGAAAAAAAAAAATCCTGAAAGAAAGCACCAGAAAAAAAGCGCCTCATTTGCCAATATAAAAATGTGATGACCAATTCAGGTTATTTAACCTGAATTTAAAGTAATTAAATAATAATACGAACATAATTAGCTATTTCTTAAGACATATATATAAGGATTAAATTAAAATGTACAGAAATGAACTTTTCTCTCTTCATTCTTTTTTTTAAATTTATTGCGACTCTTCAGCAGTTCTGAAATACTTCTAAATTTCAATAATTGCACTTATTGTATTTCGATATAATAATGTATACAAGTAATACTTAATTAATTTTTTTAAAAAGGAAATTGTATTAAACTGAAATGCATTTTCCCATTTGTTAATATTTTTAGTAAGAATCAAATTTTAACAAAATTTATACAGTCAAAATATTTTAACTTGAGGGACTTTTGTCAATTGAGAAACTATTTATAGCAATTCTATTATTATATATTATAAAATTGTACTTACAATTAAAAATATGAAAAGTATTATAAGTTCTTTAGTCAACTTCAGATTATACATTGAATCTTAAATAATTTTTTGTTAAGTATCTAGTTGTGATTAAATAATAATTTGAGGACGTTAAATTCAAATTGAATGTCCTGAATGGAATCGGTCATTATATTTATATAATAGTAAATGAGATTTTTTTTGTGGGTTTTTCTTCTGATGTCTTTTTCGGTGTTCTTTTTAGCGTGGTTCAGTACTGGTAGGGATTACTATACATTTTTTTGGTGTTTATTTGAATACTTAATATTTAACCTGAATTTATTCTCAATCGGGAAAATTAACCGTCATATGATATAATGCAGTTTAAGCATATAATATGTTATTGTTTATTACTGTTTTTTTTTTCGAGTTTGCAACAATGACTTATATGGAGGAAAAAAGAAGAAAAAACTTCCAAAGAAAAAAAAAACCCCAAAAATTCATCTTTTTTACTTTTATATAAATGTTATGAATTGAACCCAATTTGATTCAATAATTATTCGATCATAATTAGAAAATTTTTAATAAAATTCTCTTATTTTTAAATTTTACTTTACATATGAATCAGCAGAATTTTTAATACTTTATATATTTTTTTTAACCGTAAACATAGACGTATTGACGTATATCAACGCAACCGAATGGTTTCTCACAGTATATGTTAATCAGATTTTTATTCATTATTTCTGTAACTCCGTGAAGTTTCTACACTGCATTTCATTCCTCAGAGAAAGGCAGATAGACAAGATTACAGCTGTTGTCATGGAAACTGGGATACTCTGGAGAGCATATTATTTATTATTTAAAATGTATTATTATAGTCAACTAATTTGTTATTATTTAGTTGGGGAATGAACTGCAACAAAGGACAATTGGATTTTGTGACCACACTAGCACAGTTCAATAATATGCTCTCAATTCACCGGTTTTCAGTAGAATAAAGTAAATATTAACTAATAATTACCGTCCCCAAAAACTGTTCAAAATAAGTTTGGCCACTGCTCTTCGTCCTAGGTTTCTCATTATTTTTGAAGCATCCAGTGCAACTCCTTCTCTTTTTAGGTAATCTTCAATATACTTTAATTTCTCCTCTTCAGTGTTACATTCAACGGGCCATCCACTCGATTCTTGCTTGATCTTTAAGAATAAATCTATAAAGTTCTTAAAGAGCGTAGAAGATGACTCTTCAAAGTGGTAAACTTCGTGAATCTGAAAAAAAGAAATGATTTATTTTTATTTTTAATTCAACGTAATAAAGAGGAAGTTTTCTTTTTAATTAAGTATGCTTACTTCTTTTAATTCATATCCCTTCTTCAAGGCTAATTTCACCTCCTCTGTTACCCATGTCCCAGTTATTTCTCTCTCAACATCTGAATGTATACATGGACTCTGCTGGAGTGTTTCCACACATGTCCTGCAGAGTGGAAACATTAGTTTCTTATTACTCCGGTAGGGCAGCACTGGTAAGAACAGTTTTCTTGGTGGAAGAATGGTACACTTCATAATCCCAAAATAATTTTCCAATGACTTGAAACCTTCAGTGATAATGGAGGGATGACCAACAGGATATTTACAATATTTGTTCACCTAGGTTAAACATAAAAAAAACATAAACATAAAAAATTATGCATAAAAATTATTCAGAAAACTACATAAACGAAAAAAGGAGTTACAAATAATTACCCATGGATAAAGAGAAGTAAAATCAACATATTTGGCATTCCCTTCATGAAAAAGTTTGATAGCATTGGTTCTGCCACCGTAAAATGCGTCTCGGGGAATAAGGCGATCTTTTAACTTGTGAGAGAACAGAAATTCTTTGAGCTCCCTATCATCTTTCTTTAAATTGCGAAATTGATGTTCCCAACACTCTATCACATCATAACCAAGAGCACGTAGTTTTTCGGTCGTCTCTTCAGTTGATTGTCGTAGAGCTCTCATCGTTACACCTTTGAAAGGATGAATCTGATCCCCATCAAAACAACTGAGGCAACCGTGATAGAAACAACCCTTAAAATAAAATTAATATCATGTACACATAAATTTTAAAAAAATATATACAGCTTCAAAGACTCATACATTTCATTAGATTCATTACTTACATGATACTGATACACAGTGTTTGTACTCTCACAAAATCCATCCACAAAATGTCCACCTATCCTGACTTCACCTGTTCCATTGAGTGCATGTTTAATGCTGATACTATCTTTCATAACTAAAAAATCTAACCATCTAATAGAGTCGGGACTGTAATTGACTTTCGTAGTGTAGCCAGAAACGGGAACCATAGCAATGGTGTCTGGTTGAATATGACCACTTCTAAATATGGCCATACTAGATGATGCAATAGTTACATACCTAAAATAAATTACAATTTAAATCCATACTAAATTAACTATCATTACAGGAAAAAACACTCTTTCTAAAATTATGTGTACTTACTCAAAAGGATCGACGCCTCCCACATCTAAAAATTCCTTTCTGTAAATCATACAAGACCGTCTTAAAATATCAACATCTGATCTGTGGAGTTAAAGAATTTTCAAAACAAGGATTGCAAAAAACATTATATTACATTTAATATTACAAAAATATAATATTAATTTTTTCTTTACTTACCTACAGTATGCTAAAATTTCCTCTTCAAAGTTAAACACTTTATCCTTTTCCTGATTATACCATTGGTTGAATTCAGCACGAGCAGAACTGCTCATGGAGTCCGGAGAATAGAACTGTTTGTCAGGTACAGGTCCTACATAAGATTGATTTCCAACGGTATTGAACAAATGAGGAAAATACCCTTTTTTCAGTTCGTCTAATCCAAAAGTTGATGGCAGTTTTGCCAGAGGCATCGGCATGAAATTTATGGAATCTATGACACGTAAATGAAGTGCATTGTGGTGAATCATCATGATTAATGAGCCATTTGGGATAATCACTGGTCTAGTTCCTTGCTCAATAAGCCAGGCTAAAATAAACTGTCCATCGAACCTAATAATAATAAATAAAAGTTAAAATAATAATTTTACTTTGTTCGATAATTTAATAAAATAAACATTTAAAAAAAATATATGTATTGAATTAAAATAACTTACGCTTTCATGTTATGAGCTATAGCAGTATAACCTTTATGTTTTACATCAAACAACCAAGAGCAAAAATCGTGACAGGCTGTATATCCTTTGAAAACAAATTCTGTGCCATCTGCTGTTTGGGCTACTGCTAAATTCACAATATGTTCTCCAGTAGATTGATCCGTCTCGAAGTCGAAGAAGATTAATTTTTCAGATGGGGGCTTTGGATCAATTTTTTTCAAGAAACACCTATGTTGTTCAGCACTCACAAACTGTTTACATGAGGGACATTTAGTGGTGTAACACTTGTGAGAAGAAATAAGTTGTGTTCGTCTTTGTATCACTTTATGACAAGTACCACACTGATAAATCTGAAAGCATGAAAAAAAATATCTTATGAAATAAAATGTAATTTAAAAAAAAACTATACCAACAGAACAATTATAACTATATCGTAGTACGCAAACAGTAATAATTACAAAAAATAGAAAGGAAAAAAAAGGCATAAACTTACTTTGTCACACAGAGATAATTGTTGATTTCCAGTTTTACTCTTATGGGCATCAAAACAATTTGTTGATTGGCACAGGCGATTACAATCCGGACACCTTTTCTTAGTGTTATCTTGTGGACATTCTTCTCTTCTGCATATCCAACAAGAATTAGGACATTTATGTTCTTCTCTGTGACTGTACGGCTTGTCGCACTTCTCACAATAGAAAGAGGAGGCATAAAAACCAGGGAGATTCTTTATCACATCGTAATGATCATTATGCAACCATAATGTGATCCGGCGGGGTCTACACACAGTATCATCCTTATATGAAACCTAATAAAAATAAAAACTAATTATTCCTTTGGATTATAAAATTCATTTTAAGAAATTTGGTTTTAGATATCATTAAAATAAGTACTTTGAAAATGTATTAAATTAGGTCAATGATATTTTAAAAACAAAATATGGAAGTTAAAATATACTGAATAATATGATACTAAATAATAATAACAGTTAAATTTCTGATTAATTTTTATAACTTACCCTGTTTAGATTTGTAGTGGAAATGACAACAATTTGTGTATTTAAAAAATCCTCAAACTTCTTAATCTCGGTATAACCACAAGGTCCTAGGGGAACACCAGCAGAGTGACATAATTCCTTAGCCTTATTCATCAGTGCAGGTCGTCTTCTGTCACGTAAAGCATGAATAGATGATTGATCATTTTCCAGGTGGGCTATAGCGTACACAATTGCTTTCGCACAACACAAACCTTCATCATCTGTTGGTATGGTCAAAATAGACCTTTTTTTCAATCCATCAACCTTTTCGTTAATTACACGATGCTGTCGTCCTCCCCCGACGTCCCGCAATATGGTGATAACGTCGATTAAAAACCCGTTATCTAACTTGATTTCAGTCTTCGACTGCAGGACTTTCAAGACGGTAGACAAAATCTTCTCCACAGTCATATCCTTGCACGGCATCATAGTGGTTGAAATCGGTTTATCGAGTCCATCGGATTGAATGCATATTCTAATCAAATCGTTAGGTTTTAAATTCCAACACACTTTCTTCAGTATCTGGCTGAATAGTTCCCGAACTAAATCTACAGACACCTCCACCAAAGGAGAATTCCTAATTGCGTCGGGAAGTTTTTCTTGGTCGATGACTGCTCTAAACGAAACTTCATCACCTCTATATTTTTCTGTCCTTCTTCTAGATAGTTGTTGAAGGAATATAGCACTGCTTAACTAAAAAAAAAAATAATAATTATAAATATATAAATGACAATATTTTTTTTAAAAATACATACACAGGGTACAAAATTGAACAACTAATATTATGGAATATTCAAAAATAAAAATACTTACATTAGTCATATCAGAAGGCTCGAGTTCTATATAAGCTGACCCATTGTTGGAAGGTCCTGGTCGTGTCTGCATAAACAAATAAAAAAATATGTTAAAAAATAATGTTATAAATTTAAAATTAACAATAAGCGAGAGAAAAGTGGGTAGATTCCTAAACAACTGTGTTGCTTCTGCAAAACCTTGCGAGAGATCCCCAATTAAATGTTCCTCGTCTTCTAGAAATTCTTGGGTGAATTCTCCCAAAAGCTAAAATTAGAGTTAGTGATTGTAAAAAAAATATTTATGTCAAATAACAATTAATATTCTTTAACAAACAAAAATTATACAATAACAAATATAAATCATGAATAACAAAAAATTATACAACTATTACCTCATCATCACATTCGTCAAACCCCAAACCCGGCTCACTAAAATCCATTCTATCATCATGCTATGAAAAAAAAATTATATTTTAAAGCAAATAAATACTTTTTTAACTGTACAAAAATATAAAGTAAGTTTTTTAAATGAAGCGATACACGGGCGCTATACAAATAGCGACAACAATAGTTAAATATAAGAGAATAAATTCAAAATATAAACGAAATCTACGCTTAAGCAAATTTGGATACTACATTAATAACAACATTGATAACTGAAACATAAATTTAGATTAAATAAATGAATTGAAAAAAATAAAATAATTATTGAGCCAAGCATAAAACTAAAAAAAAAAAAAATTCTAATAATTATTAATAAACTAAAAATTCAAATAATTATTAGCTAAACTAAAATTCAAATAATTATAACTTACTTCTTCAGAAGAATCGTCTCTTGAACGTTTGCTCATTGTAATCCTTATAAGACACTGGAAAAATAACTACACAATCGTAACAAACGGAATACAATTTCCAACTAATAAATTTTTTCGTGCAGCAACGGTTTATATCAGCCTCTACTAACACGATAAATGAAGATAACGTGATAGCCCTTGTTAAATCTTGTGACAAAGGGTTGAAATAATTCTCACACGAACTAATCACTAATACCTTAAATTCTACGATAAAACTCATAACCACACTGACCAATATCAACATTTGGTGAGAAAAGTAGATAAAATGTGGTGAGAAAATAGATAAAAACTACTTTCCCTATCACTATATTAAACTTTCCATTCTGACTAATTGATAATAATACAGGTAAAACTAAAACTTCACACCTTGATAAAACTTTATCAGAAAACTCTCACGGGTCTGGTCATCTATTAGTCCCTTTTTCGAATCCCACGCATGATTTTTGAAAATAAATAGTTTTATTATATTATCAAATAAGCTGTAGGAATTTAAAACAATCGCGTTAAAAAGGCTGTTAAATGTTTTCTTCGATTTTAAAATAATTTTGTAATTTCAAAAATTAAATTTAATATATAATTGATTACAAATAATAGAGTTAATTATTTTCTAATCGTAAAAGAAATTAATTCAGAATAAAATAATTCACTTATTTTATCATAAACTTTTTATTTTACCATAAGATTTTTTTTTTTTAAATAAATAGAATTTTTATTTTAATATTAAATCATTTTATTTAAAATGCGTAAATTAATATTGAATAGGTTAATAATAGTTATAGTCGTTTATATCAACTGTATTTATGTTAAAAAATAACTAAAATTAAGAGTTATTAATATAGTCTCTTTCTAACATTTTAAGTATAGATGGCACCATTAGAATTCATATAGTATTTTTTAAAATGATTAAATTAATTTTATTAAAACCTTAAGTTTTCCTCCGATCTCTGTACATTCACAGGATACTGATTAGCGAAACCAAGTCCCCCCTACTTGTCGTTGGACTAAGCGTAGGAGGTTTTCGTGGTTTTCCTCTTCATAAATCGTGGTCACTCACAAAGTCCTCTTCGAAGACATTGTCTCAAGATCTAGGAGTTCCCTTGTCTTCTGGGTTCAAAAATGACAAGACTACATTGATAGCCGCATATCCGTACTACGGTAATAAACATCTAATCTAATAAAATAATATTCGTTGATTTAAATATGCTCTTAACCTTAACACGTGTATGGACAGTACCGTTGCCATCCAGAGAAAGTTATCATAGCATTAAGAGGGGGCAGAAATAATTATTTAATAACTGTCAAAAGGTTAAGTGAAAAATATATCGATGAAACTGTATTAAGATATCGATATCAAACAGTTTTTATTCATACACGTGTTCAGAATACAAAAGTTTAACTTATTAACACATATCTAACCAAGCATTCGTGGGTCAGTGGTTATGATATCCAACTACTGACCCACGAAGGCTTTTTGATGGCGTGAGTTCGATCCTCAGCCTTAATTATATTTAATAAATAATATTAAAACAGATTTAAATATTAAAATAGATTTAAAGTTATTTTATTTCTAAAATTCTCACATAGATGGCGCCACTAGAGTAAAAGTATGATATCATTTATGTGTTACGTAATAAGAGATGACGTCATAACTTCATAATATACAATATCTCCCCAAATAACAAAGTTTCTAAGTGTTGCCATCCTTAAAAACTAATATTAAAAATAATAAGTGTTGCCACCCTCAAAAAACTAATAAATTAAATAATATTTTAAAAAACGAAACTAAATTAAAAACAGAAACCGAAACTAAAAATATATTAGGCTTAAGAAAAAAAAGAAATAAGCTCCCCATGACGCTGCAGACGAAGTTTCGATTTTCAGGCGGGCAGAAATAAGCAACTTCCGGTTTGAAGGTGGGCAGAAATAAGCAACTTCCGGCTGGGGCAGAAATAAGCACCGGTTGACTGTGACGTCACTTCCGCCGCTTATACAACGGTGTATACTACTCACGGTAACAAATAAATATTTCTCATTACAAGCAATTATGATTATTTATAATCACAACAAGAAGTGGTTGAAAATAATCGGGATTATAAGTAATTAAACCCTAGAATAGTTGTCGGGAAATACGTGTCACCATGAGGTACAAATACAAGTAATCATAATTATCAGTGATCATAACCTAACAATTACAAGTACTCTTAAATAAGTAATTGTAATATATATGATTACAGCTCTATTAAATGTTATCGTAATTTCAAGTTGGATTGATTACAATTACATTATTATGAGAATTGATTACTTTTTATGAAAATACATTCATTATATATTTAAATGGATTCTGTTATTTGGTTTACTAAATGAAATCTTTTTAACATTGAATTGCATACAAACATACGTACACACACACACATATATATAAATGTACATACATACGATGTATGTATTTTGTATACACATATTCGAGCACTTTTGTACGTAGAAACATAAATTGTATTTGTATTCAAATATTGTGTATATAAACGTATGTACACCAAGCATACAAATACGCACTGTATGTAATACTTATAATGTATGTATCTACACATATTTTATACGTTTCATATATGTATATACGTACGTATGTAAACACAATATATGGATGTTAATACTACCATTTTCAAGATTGCAAGGGATAAATAGAAGTTATCTCAAATAGCTTATATTCAGTTTTAAAGATAACGACAGTTTTAAAGAACGATTTTTTAAAGTATAAGAATAAGCACGGAAATTATAAATTTATCGTTAGCTTTAATTGAAAATGCAAAATTATTCTGTATAAATAAATAGTTTTAAAGTCCTGCAGTCGGCCTCACCGCGGCGAAGGGGTGTCCCTGGTCGGAAGAGAATATTATAGAGCCATCCAAGGAGTGAAGGCCGTTCCACTATGCTCACCTAACGAATGCAGGGGAATCCAGAGGCCAAAATTATATCTACTCATAGGAAATTAAAAATACATTTAAATAATTTATTTAGATATAACACATTTTAAAACGTTAAAATTCATATTCAATGAAAAAGTTATATTCAAAATATTGATACATTTAATACTCTCAATGAGAGCAGCTTCATCAAAGAAATATTTTGATAAAGAATTTCTCATATTTTTTGCTGCTTTAATTTTTAAAACTTTTTTCTATCCTTTTGAG